ATTATTGTCAACAGTACAAGATAATTTTTGCAGTTCTTTTTTACTTTGGATACATCCCATTATTGCGTTTTGTAGCATTTTGTGGTATGCTATCAACTGTATGTTTTTAGGTACATTTGTTTCATTTTTTCAAAAAATTGTTTTATTTTATAATTTTGTAAAAGTATTTAAATGATTCCAAAGTAAAATCAACCAAACGTGGCATTTACAAAGAACTCTAGCTTCTAACATTGTCCCCTCCGACCTATTTCCACTCCTCTTCCCTATTGGTAACTGTTTTTCAAATTATGGTTAAACTTCGAATTTTTATAAAAATATAAGTAGATACTAGTGTGTGTGTGTGCACACACACGCGTGTGTGTGTGTGTAACCCTACCCTTCTTAAACAGTAACATTACCTCTAGTTTGCTTTTCTCAGTTAACAATGTATCATAGTAGTACCCGAGTTATTTTTTACAGCTACATAGTGTCCATTGTATCTATGTACCATAATTTTTTTAAACAATCTTAGTGATTTCGTTATCTAATTTTTGCTATTACAAATAATTTTGCAATAGCATTGTTTATATGCCTTTTCATTTTTTTAAGTATTTGGGATAGATTTCTATAAATTGAGATTGCTAGGTTAAAGCATAAATGCATTGTAGTTTTGCCAGTTATTAACAAAATTTACCTCCATAGAGACTAACTTGCAATGACCATCAGGAATGTATGACTCATTCCTCAAAATCTTGTCAATAAAATGTGTTCTCAGATTTCGAATTTCGCCAACCTATTGGTGAGAAATGATAATTCTATATGCTTTTAATTTTCTCTTTTATTTTGAAGGTTAAGAATCTTCACATGATTAAGAATCATTTGCACTTTTTCAATGAACTGTCTATTTCTCTGGCCCAGTTTTCTAAAGCTGTTGGTCTTTTTATTCTCTATTTTAGAAACAAGTAAATCTTTATAGTTAAAATATAAAATATACCCCAACTCTCTAATCATATAACTCAGATTATATTTTTCTTGAGAAGTGGTGACTAGAAGTACATATTCCAAATGCAGTCATAATGGCATTAAACATGAGAGAAAAACACTGGGCTTAAGTCATCTACCATTTCCTCGTCAATTAAAAACCAAATTCTGCACTTCACACATTAAGGCTTTGTTAAGAACTGAGATTTTTCTTCAACCATGAACTTGTCATATCTAATTGACTTTTCTCATTATCCTCAACCTCTTAGCTATGGCTGATACTACACACATACATCCTCCTTAAAACTGAGTTTTATTTGAGTGGTAGACTGCCTAGGTACAAGACACTTAAACCAAGCTACCCCAAATTCTTTTTGGAAAATGGTATGACTTTTTAATAAAAGTCAAAATTTAAAGTCACTTAATCTTTCCTGCTCTGTTTCCTTGGCTATAAAATAAAACAGTTGAAGAAAATGATCCCTACATTTTCTAGTCTTCTAATATAAAATTATTTGGTCTTATATCCTTTTCAAAAACCCAGTGGACTCTACCCAAACTTTCTTTAAAATGGGGCTCTAAATAATTTTTCCAAATTCTTCCCCAAATGTCTTCCACTTATTATCCCTTAAACCTTCTCATGGTTTTGTTGTTTTTGTTGAATACCAGTTTCTCAGACTGTAGGCTCTGGACCAGAAGCATCAGTGTTATCTAGGAGCCTAAAAATGTAAATTCTTGGGCACTATCCCAGCCCTATGAACTCAGTAAACTGAGGGTGACCTGGCAACATGTGTTAACAAGCACTCCACCCTACCCCACAACCACAATACAAGACCCCACTGATGCTGCACGCTCAGGTTTGATGACAGACTAACCTTTCTCACAGCTCTTGGAATGCCCTTACTAAGTTATCAGCTTTTTATTGCACTTTATAATATCAAAGTTAAGTTCTAGATTCTTTTTCATGTATATTGTCTCCTCAACTAAGCCGTGAATTACTTAAGAATCGTTTTCGACTCATCTAATCAAACAACCTAGCACGGTTCTTATATTCTAAACTTTTCAGAAATGTTAAGCATGTATAGCTCTCGGTTTGCTTTATTGTTGCTTTAAAATAGCTCAATATATTTTTTTTTCAGGAAAATAATTATTTCATGAGAGCAGTCTGAATAAGATAGGAAAACTGTTTGGCTTGAGTCAGTTATTTCAAATCTGCTGTTTTAGGGCCTCATACTGGGAAAATGTAGATGAAGCTATGGTAGGCTCAGTTAACGGTTGGTCCCCCAAGATGTCCATGTCAGAATCCCTGCAACCAGTTAATGTTACCTTGTATGACACAGAGAATTTGCAGATTAAGGATTTGAGATGGGGAGACAATCCCGATCATCCAGGTGAACCCAACGATGTCCTTCTAAGAGGGAGCAGAGGGAGATAGTACAGCCAAAGAGAAAAGACCATATATGATGATGCAGGAAGAGACCTGAAGATGCTACTTTTGGAGATTGAGATGTAGGAAGGGACACAGAGCCACAGAAGGCAAGGAATGCAGCTCCAGCAGCTGGAAAGGCAAGGAAATGGATCCTCCACTAGAGTCTCCAGAAGCAGCCCTGCCAAAACCTTGACTCTAGCCACTGAAACTGATTTTGGACTTCTGGCCTCCAGAACTGTCAAAGAATTAATTTGTGCTGTTTTAAGCCACTCAATTTGTGGTAACTAGTTATAGCAGCAATAGGAAACTAATACAAAGCTTTTGATAAGTTTTTATTGTGAAATATTGGATTTAGAAAAAAGTACAAAATGTCAACAGTCAGATGTGTACAAGTACAGTATTTCAATAGCCTATACATGTGAACAGCTTAACAGGTTCACCGTAAAATGCATATTTAGACCAATACAATCTAAAAAGGACTGTAATATTCACAAGCTATTAATACATAAATAACTTGAGCCAAAGTGATCCTCACTGGTAAATGCTAATACCTGAAAACAGGCTAAAAAGCACAATACGGCACACCATAGTATCTCCTTACAGGTCCACATTTAAAGAATATCAGCTCATTATGTCATTACACTACAGATTCAGGACAGGGACTTAATTGCTAGTTTGTACAACTGCAAAAATATTAAGTTATAAAATAAGTTCTTGGAATAAAGGGAGGGTATTTAATTAGGACTAAATACTGTGAAGCCTCTAAAAGATTTTAGCCTTGGAATTTACAAGCTTAATTACTTAGACTGATTTTCAATTTTTAATCTATTACCTAAAAAAGTGAGAAGGGGCACCTTTCTTTTGTAGCAGCTCCAACAAGGTATAAACTATTACACAGCTTATTTTTAAACCATAATGACCACTGCAGATGGACAAATGACTATGAAACCAGAATATAAAACAATACAAATTTTAAAGAAAAGTAATGATTATCTTATGAATTTAGCAAATGCTGCAAACATTAAAATCTGTGTTAAAAAGGCATTATCTAGTATTGTTGAGAGTACTAAATTTAGGAAGGTTATTGTATAAAGATCTCACAAAAATAAACTGGTTTAGTTTTTCCAAGTCTGACTCATTCAATCTTCTGTTATCACTTGAAATTTACCCTAGATTATATTTTCAAATTGGACAAAATTATTTGATATTACTTTATAATAAGTAACTTTAAGAATAATCTACTGAAACACGAGTCATGTTAAAAACAATTATTAAAATCATCCTGTGTTCCGAGAAACGACGACTTTTGATATGACATTCATACTCAATGGTTGTTTAAAAACAAAATCTTCAAAACTGATAAATTAATAAGTTTACTTAAAACAAAATTACCCTTGCCCATAAATTCCTAAGAGTAAGGACTCTTCATTCTACCCAGTCTATCTAGTGATGCCTGATGCTTTAAACTAAAAGTCTGAATTGGCATTTATTAAATAGGAGATCAATTCCATTACAGACTGAAAACCAATGGATCAGAATATAATTAGTCAATAACTTCCCATAACCTATCCCACGCTACCTTAACCTTTTATAGACACTTTTAAAGACTCTAATATAATTTTCTTATAAATAGAACCTGAATCTTACAACAGATTCCAATTTATTCAAAGATAGTCATGGATTGATTTAAAAGTTATTTAATTTTTTCCAGATTTGCTTTAAACTTACAAATTAAGTATGGTGTACATAAATATTAACTTAGAAAACCACATATTATAGGAAAAGCAGATATATGGACCACTGCAAAAAAATTATAAATTTTTAAAATTTTTATAAAAGAAAAATAAAGCAAAACATGTAACTTACAAAATATGAACATGAAGCTGTATCACGTAAAAAATAAAATTATTCTATCAGAAGTAATTTAAAATTAAATCTTTGGGGAAGTATTGTGACATAATTCAATGAATTCAATGACCAATAGCTTCCCGTATCACACAAAAACAAACCACAAGATCATCTAAAGTCTATATGCATTATCAGTTCTTAATGCAACCTCAAACATTTTACTAGCAACTTTGACTTCCTTTTGAAATAGGCTCTGTACATATGCATTTATATACAAACATTTATTGAACATGATTTTAAAACAAACTATGTACAAAAGATCGGCAAAAAAAACATTAGGTGGCAAAAAGGCACTTGTAAGTAAAAATCTACAGTAGTTTTTACAAAACAAAACACATTTTACCTTGGATACTGTACAATAAACATTAGTTCCTATGCCAATAATGAAAATACTAGTTTACTAGCTAATGTTAATGATCTAACTTTTAAAAACATATTTACATATTTTCTGAAGTCCATTTAATAAAAGCACCATGATTCTTTTCTAAATTTATGTTGATGCAAAGTGAAAACACAATTACCAAAAAAACCAGTGTTCACCATTTTCCTTGTTTAAAAGGTTTTGTATTTCTAAATTAAAAACTGTTTATCTGAAATTAGCATAGTGTAAAACAAAAAAAACAAAAACCCTGCTTCTCTGACTTCTTAAAACCATACCTACCCTATTATTGCATGTTGCATTTTATAAAGAGCACTACTCATGCACTCCTTTACAACTGTTTAATACTATTGCTGGCAAAAAAGTTCCTTGATATCAAATAATTAAAAAGTTACTTCAAACCAGTTGAAGCTTAATCTGAATGTTTTACAACTTAAAAAATGCTGTATATCAGTTACAAAAGTGAATAGGAAACACGCCAATTCATTTGGTGTGCAAAAATATTTTCCCACTACACAGAATTTAAGAGCTTCACAGATACTTTTTTTTTGAATTTACATTTTCAGCAGAAACACTAAGTCAATAACCTTCTCAAGGGGATGTTAATATGCTTCCACTTTTGTCAAACTTTTTACCCTTTGATAGTGCTGCAACCTGTTTGAGTAGTTCTCTGTTTTTGGCCTGTGGGAGACAGAAACATTTATGATTAAAAATGTTTGAAATATCATGAAGTCATGCTGAAGAATACTACTTACTTAATGCTGTTCTTTTCACTTATAGAACAAGATTTCACTGAAATATCAACAGAGATAAATGAGAGAGTATATTTAGGTTCATCAATTTATAATCAGTTACAAAAAAAGGTAACAGAGTCAATCTGCATAAAAATTTTAAATAGGGAAAAAAATATTTGGCTCTTTATTCTAAAAACATGAAAATATGAAAATAATTTTTATTTTACAATAAGATCAAATGATTCAAGTGATGATTTGGGAGAAATCAAACTATACAAAGTCCTTTATTTGATGTTCACTTATTTACAGAACAAGTATAAGAAATCATTTTTGCAAAAACGCTATCACTTTGCCACAGTGACTCAATCTTCTTAATGATGTTTAAATGTTTTTTTGAAGCACCCATTGGAACTGCCCTTTCTTATCTTATTTTTGCTCCTTTAATTGCCCTACAGTCACCAGGTACTGGCTTTGATAGAATTTGAGCATCACTGTTTTCAGTTTTATGAAAGGCTGAAATTTTTCTTAAAAGGTTCAAAATTTCACTTTGTCATCTACCTGAATTTGCATTTTATTCAAATGTTCCATCCACCAATGACAAAGACACTGTCCTGAAGCTAACGCACTGTGACAATTACTAGTGTTTAGTAAGGAAGACTGTAAGTAGGGATCCTTCAGTATTCAGAATATTTTTATATTTTGACTGCCTTTGTCTCCCTACGCAATCCCTTCACTGTGGAAATGTAGATAATAAGGACCTTCCACATACACAAGCATGTTAATGATCAAAAACTTTTGGTGTTTTTGAGCCAAAATGGGAAGAGTCTTGACAATAGTTTGGAATCTAAGCCACTGTCCTAAAATAAAATTTTAAAAGGTATCAATCTGGCTTATGTTTGAAAACAATTTTCCTTCACAGGCCTCAAGATTTTTTATTATCTAGACAGACTTTTTTTAACCTCGGTGCTTCATCTTCTAATTTTAGCCTTTGTATGGCAACATAACACCCTGCCTTCTCTGTATACCATCTTAAAGCAGTTTCATGAAACAGAAATCTTTCCAGGCTCTGTACTTTCACTCCCCCAACTCTTCTTCAAATTCTCCCTACCTGATACTTATGACCTCCAAAATACAAATCTTAGAGCAATCTCATATTTGCTAATCAAACCAATTTTTATGTTCGACTGCACAATAAACAGCATTTCTCTGTTCACAGTTTTTAAACAATTAAAGTGGTAGTTAAGTGTTTTAAATTCAAAATAGAAATGCATCAAAAATTTAAGAGTATTTTATGTTCTCTTTGAAACTAAACAGTTTGAGACACTCAGAAGATAAGTCAATGAGAAAGCCTGGCAGTAGAAGTCAAGTGAGCACACTCTTGATCAATTGGTTTTATTACTCAATTAACTAGTCTTAGTCAATGTGGTAGTTTTAAATTGTTTTCTTTTTATTGTTAGCTAAAGATTATTTAATTTATAACCATAATATCCTTACTGGATAAAAAAAAAGTATCTTATAAAACAAATTTAAAATATAAATTAATGAAGGGCATAAAAAAAATCTTTAAATTTGCCTCAAAAAGAGCTCCATCAGATCTATAAGTTACTTTTATACAAAAGCATTTAAACCGACATACCAAATCATTAGAAAGCTAATGTTTAAGTTTTTTCTAAATCAAGAAATAAAAAAAATCAATGAGCTTATAATTTTCATATTCTAAGTATGAAATACTAGAACTCAAATATTAGATATTAAAAGCAATTTTTTCTTATTAATTCCCTAGCAGCTAACTTTCAATCTGCATTTACATATTTGGTCTCCTAATCATGTCGCTAATAAACTTATTTGTCAATAAATTATGTATGAAAAAAGTGTCTAAGAAAAAAAACAGTGCATCAGTTGTTAAATGGAGAGAAGTTCAAATGTCTATTCTAATATAGGTATGATAAAAAATATATTTTACAATGCAGTATTTAAACACATTAAAAATTTTTATACTAACGTTACTTATCATGCACACTCAAAAATCCATTCAATTATTTAAAAAGTCTTAAGCAAGTTAAGTTAAAATGTTTATAGAAACAGTGGCCTAAAGGAAAGAATATATGTATTAAGAATCACAAAGATTCTCTTTTGAATCTTGGTTCTGCCACTTATCTGCTATGTAACCTGGAGTCTATTTTCTCATATGTAAACAGAAACTTCACCCACAAACAGGAGTTGAAAGAACTAATCAAATATATAAAACACTTAGCCTAACACAGTGGCTTGTACATAGTAGGCATTCAAATGTTAGTACCCTTTCTCCTTTTATCAACTTATCTCCTAAATTAAAAGTATTTTTTTTTTAAATTTGGTATTCTTGATACTTTAGATAATTTTGGTTTTATGGGATGTTATCTTTTGGTGTTTTGCCTAATTTTTTTTGTGATGCTCAGTGCTTTTTCCCAGGTTTGATAGTTAAAAATGTTTTGAGAGCTATTAAAGCAAGGTAAATTTTCTGCTATAGGGTTCAGTTTTGTATCCAAAAGATAAGGAAAATAGTTAACCATGTTTACTCATCTACTAGTACCTGCTTGCTAAAGATAGTAGGGTTTAACAGATAATACTTAACTGACAGAATGTCTCCAGCAATAACACAAAAGATATAGGGAAGTGGTATGATAACAAGGATAAAACAGAAAACATAAGTAACCTGAGGTAGTGGAAAAAGTGCAGAAAAGGAGAAAGTGTAGTCAAATCAGAGTCAGAAGATGCAGGTTTCTCTGTCACTGCTAATTATGTGAACACAGTTTCATACCACATAACTCAAAGTTATTTTAAGGCACAAATAAGACAGCCTATGTAAAATCGTATTGAAAATGTCGTTGTATATAAACACTAGTTACTGCTACTATTCCATTGTATATAAACACTAGTTACTGCTACTATTCCATTATATGAAACTTCAGCTACCAACCAAGAGGAGGTAGGCTTAAGATGCCTATCAGGCTAAGATGTCAAAAAGGTTCCCCTGTGCTTACAACTACAAAATAAAATATCAAGCTACTCTTTTGAACACTGAGAAGTACTAAATGTTATCATATTGGAGTACTGTTTAGTTTTTCTGTCACTTCATTCTGGATTTACTCCAGAGTTTTGGTTATACCACATTAAATCAGAAACCATCATACAAAAGATTATATTCCCAGGTAATGATTCAGCATTAATGACTTAATGAGAAAAAATCAGAATATCATAAAACTAATTCTTGCTAGTGGATGATGAATAATAATAATGTACAAGAAGTCCGATATGGGCAATCTCTTAGGACAGAGGGCAGATACATTTCCATAAATCACCACTCATTCAACAAATTATTTGAATGCCTGCTATATCCCAGATTCTATGCAAGGTTTCTCTTCAAAATTCTTTGTAATAGTAATTATCAGTGTTAACAGTAGGCAACCTGTACCTCGAATTTTCAACAGGGTCTTAAATCCACTTTATAATCTTACTTGATTTAAGCTACTTTCAAACAAATATGATGAATACAAAACCAAAAGATAGAAGAAGCAAATATCCCTTGATGTTAGATTGTTAAAAACAAACAAAAAACAGGGCAATATTAATTCTTTCCTTTCCAAGCTGTACTCTCCCATCAAGAGTCTAAAGTCTGTGTGCCAGCATCTTCTATGCTTTTGAAGCTTCTGAAAACCTTCTTACCCAAAGATCTAATTCTACAGATGTCAGAATGTATAAATCAGTAGAACACATAATTAATTTAGTGTGGTCTCATTTCTAGATTTCTGAAACCTAAGTGAAAAAAAGCTTAAATAAGGAAATGATTTATATCCCCATTGGATGTTCTCCAGCTCTGCATGCCAGACATCAGATACTACCCCCTCTTTGTAACTGGTGACTCCTAGCTACACCATTCAGTTGTCCTCTATATTGAAATGCTACTGAGTATATACACTTAGCATACTCTGAGGTTGATCTAGATGCTTTGCATCACTGAATGCAGCATAAATTTCCTCCACTTGAGGTCCCTGAAAATTGGTTTTGTACACCCGTCTCCCACCCATTATCTGAAAGGAAATAGGAAGAATGATTGCACAATGTACTAAAGACCTTATTTTCACGTTAGTTTCATGAATCTGATTTTTAACTGTTTGCTGTTCACTGATGATGAATTGAACATACTGCAATGATATTCTTCTCTGAAAACTCCACTTTAAGTTTAGGCAAAAGTTTTCAGAATTAATATAAAGTAATTTCAGAATTCCCTATCAAGTAATTTCAAGGAATAGCTTTTAATGGGAGCAGGATTAAAAACTATTACAAAGCCTAAAACAAAGCTAAAACTGTACCAAGTATGCATAATAAAGAGATACCAATATCAGTCTAAGATAATGAATACTATTACCAAAGTTTCTTTCCTTGCCTAATAGTTTACATAAATAATGACATTTACCTGAAGTTGTTCCACAGTTTCTTTGTGAGCTTTTTCCATACTGTTCATCTTTGTTCTCAAGTTTGACTCTTGGTACTGAAAGTCCGCCTTTAGTTCAGTTAACTGAGAAATTAAAAAACAAACACATATATGTATATGTGCATATATATATATATATATATATATATGCGTATATACATGTATATATGCATACACAAACATTTTAAATATTCTTCACAATAAACTCACCATTATAAAAGTGGAAGATGTTAACAGCAGTTTCCTGAATTTTATAACTTATCTAGAATTTGTTTTGTAAAATGATGAATTCTATCTACTTAAGCAGTCTCATTTTAATATTAAAATAATATTGAACCATCAGTAAAACTTCAAAGAAGTTGCTTTTTTGTTTTTATTTAAAGGTAGCTTCATTAAACACAGTTTGGCAACTGGTATGCCAACAGGAAAGCTTAACAGCTAATACCTTGGAAATGCTTCAATTAAAATGTACTTTATGTTATATAAAACAAAGTAAACAATAAAACTGGATTCAAGTTAAAATAATCTTTCCATGATTAAAAAAAGTTTCACATGGGTCAAGTACAAAGAGGAACAGTCTTATGAAACAAGAGCTATATTGCTTTCATTTGAAAATAAATGTCCAGAATTATGTATCCAATTCCAACTAAGATTTGAGGTAAAGATGGAGAACAAAGCACAGAAATACAACTAATATGGAACAATAAAGGAAAAGGAGTTACTTTAAAATTTGGGCTAAATTAGACAAATGTTAAGAAAAAAATTCAGTGATTTGAGGAAGCAAAGAAAGCTATGTGACAATTTTCCATAAATATCAATGACATACACACAAATATAGCATCTCATGACTTTAAAAATAACTAAAAAATAACTTGATATTATATAATTCCTTCATTAGAACCATGTATAAGAAAGCTTCTAGTTACTTTTAAATGGTTTTTATTATATAAGCTTTAAAGGTTTGCAGTTCTTTTTTGTAATTACCCAGTAGCTAGTTAACTGAAAGATGTGCAACAGCAAAAAGTCATAGTGTCTTGTATTATTTTCTGAATAAAAGCTCTTGCTTTTATTAAATTCAAAGAACTGTTGAATTCCCTTTTCTATATTACAAAAGAATTCCTGTACCGAAATGACAATTCACATCAGATCAGCTAAGATAATTATTCTCATTACTATGCTGTGAGTTGCCTCTAGATTATGAATTTCTGAAAGATAAGGATTATTTCTTATTTATTCATCTTTGTATCTTCATGATCTTGTAAATGGCTGGCTCTAGAAGCCACTAAATAAAATGCAATAAATTCAAGAAAATAACTTGGTCATCTTAGATTTACATTCTAAGAAAAAGTGTAAATATGTAGCTATTTTAGGCTTATTATTATTAATTTCTTTATAATACCACTAATTCCCATCCCCATTAGTGTTTTTTAAGATAAAAGGAACACTAACAAAAGCAGAAAACTCAACTAAGTTGACTAATATAGAATAGTTATGCTAGAAAAAGTATCTTAAAAAGTCAAAAACATCGATAATTCATTATTAGTTGGTTTTGGAATCATTGTTATAGTAAACTTACCATTTTATTCAACTTTTACCTTGGTTAATACAGCTATATCTGTCTTTGTGCAATAGAAATATCTCTAAAATTCTGAGCATAGAACAAATTTCCATAAAAGTTCATTAATTAAAAAAAATCCTGCAGTTAATCAAAAATAACCATAAAAAACAAGACACTTATAACTACTCTATTTTTAGTGTATGTCAATCCTAAATTTCCTATTCTGAATTTGCTTAAAGTTAAGGGACAAATGTATTAAAATTAAATCTACTAAACAATCAAGGTGTGGAAAATTTAACACCAAAGTTGTTGAATGCCAGAGGTAAAAGCCAGCTCACACAGAAGCACTACTATGGACACATAGAAACAGTTCATGTACATATTTATAATTATGTGTTGTTTATAATTTTAAAGGGAATTTTTCTTAAAAAAAGTTTTCCTATTGTATAAGATGTTTGAAATAGGTCAAATTTGATAGTCTAGGGCCATAAAACAAGTACAAAAGTAGGTTCTACCCTCGAAGATGACAAAACACTAGTAATTGCAGCTATGAACACTGACACATGCCAGGAGCTATAGCAAGTACTTTACATTTTTATTTAATCATAACCACCACCCTATGAGATGGTATTAATACTTTCATTTTTTAAATGAGAAAACTGAGGCCCAAAGAGAAGTTCACACAGAAAGTGTTAGAACTTTTCACTAAACAGATAACATATCTGATATTCCCCTTGATCTGATAATCACAGTCCCAATAAATACTTAACTTCCTATAAACCGATCTTAGAAACTTAATGCTAATCATTCCTTAAAACACAGGAAATTCCCACAGCATTACTTTTGACCAGTTATTTGATCTGGATTGAAATACATACATGATTAGTACATCAAAGACTAGTTTCAATTACTTTCTTAAATCACAAGAATTCACATAATATTCTATTTAAAACTATTTTCAAATTAAGACATTAGAACTATTTTAAATTACAGGTTTACTGAAAACTAATGTTCAGAAATTACTACAATTTGAATTACCTCTCAATTAATTCTGAGAACAAAAATTTAGAAAGACTATTTTACCTATGTTCATTAGATGGCATAGGTTCCAATTTGAGCTTCTGTAAAATGTATCTTTAAGAATGATGCACAGCAAACATTACCAAATTATTAAAGAAAGTTTAATAAAATTTGCTATTATTGAAAAAGAGTCATGATGTAAATCTTACCAGGCTTCAGTGAACCTTGTTCTTACCTTTTTATCTTTTTCTAAAATGGTCTGGTCTCTCTGCTGTAAGAGACGTTTAAGTGACATCACTTCTTCTTTCAGTTGACTTATAAGGACAAAATTGTCTGTTCCCCCACTATCTGCTGACTGATTTATAGAGCTACTAAAAAGAGAAAAGTAAAACACAGTTAAATGAAGTAGAAGGAAAATTACCAGGTGTTCAAATTGCATAAATTAGACAATTCCACAAACATCCTTAAGGCTAATGCAAAAAAATATGTACCTGACAGAAATGGATGCAACTGGCAAATTACCTTACTAATGGCACACATTACATACACCTGCAGAAATATAATTCAGTATTAGCTTTTAGGGGGTCAATACTTCTAGTGTAAAGCAATAGGCAGCCAATTTGTACAGAAACATCAGCAAACTTTTGGCTAATGAACTAAAACAAAGTCACACTTGCTCATACTACTTTAAATCTAAAAACATTTTCCAAGCAGGTCAATTTAAAATATCACAATTAGATTTGTGTTTTATTGAAGAATAATTAAGATAAAAAGAATGTTCTCTATTCAGATTTGTTTTCCTTTTTTCAAAACCCAAATTTATTCCCCAAATAGAACAACATAGTTCAGTGCCACTTTCTTATTGCCAAAATTAAGTCAAAAAATTTGATTATGTTTACTCTTCTGGATGACTCAAAGAAGTCAATGTAGAAGATATATGTTTCTATTCCTTCACCTAGTAATAACTGACAATCAACCATAACTGTTCAACTAAGGTGAATTTTCACTAAAGGAATTCATTTTTACCTATCTCCATTAGATGGCTTAGATTCCAATTTGGGCTTTTTCTTTGGAGTTTCATTCTGAATTGCTGCAGAGGATTTATGGCTGAAACCAAACATTAATAAGAATAATTAGAGTAAAAAGGGCTGAGACACCAAGTGGCAAGTTATTCTGCTTATATTACCAAACATCATTGATTTTTTAAAAACCTAAGTAACAAGGTTAAAGAAAGGTCACATTAAAAAAAACTCTTTTTGAAATACTTCAGAAAACATGTTAACATATTTACCTCTGTTTCCACAGTCCCTGCTCTTGTTCTGGACTCAGATTGCTGATTCTGAAAAACGTATAAATGATATCTAATAACAACATTTATTTAATACATCTACATTTAACAGCATTCTTCTCAATGAAATCAAATTATGTATTTTAAACTTTTGTTCAGAGAAAGGCATATTCAAGTTAGTTTTCAGACTAAGCTAATATATACTGAATATGTCACATCCTAATAAGATCGATTCTAATCAGATGACGACTAGCTATCTTAAGTTCTTCAAGAAAGGTACAATAATAGCGACTGAATTTTATTTTAATCAGGACTTCCATAATTCAATTTAACATTATACTAAGAGTTGGGGTATATGACCATCAAAACCACAACAGGGTTCTATAATTATAAACTCTGAGAATTATCCTCCTAAGGCTGCACTTACTATCTCAGATAGAAAATGTTCTCTCTTTAGTGTCAAGGACTTCCTAATAAATCCTACATGAATATTCTACCTTTGGAGTAAACTCAAGTTGCTCAGAATCACATGTCAGGTTAAACCAGGAAATAATGTCTTTCTTTCATAGTTTTCCTAAGAACTCTCTCCAAAGTCTCTAGATCTTTTTTTAGTCTTTTTTTTTTTTTTTAGAAGTCATGCTCAAAATATTCAGAAATTTCACAGTAACAACTGATTTAACTTTTACTTACTTCTCTTCCATTATGCCATTATACCAATATAACCACCTAATAATGCATTATGAATCCTACAAACTTTCCCCCTATACTGGCACATTAGCCAATTCCTCATTAACCCCTAATTTATTGACTCAACATGTATAGAGCATCTCCTATGTACCAGATAGCATGTATTTACGCAACAGAAGAGATGCTAGAAGATCTGAGTTGCATGACCTTTTACAAGTTACTTAAAATTCCTGAGCCTCAGTTCCCTCATCTATGTACAATACATACCTTATAGAGATATGAAAATTAAATGAGTTATGTATGTAAAAGCACTTAGTACAGTGCTGGCATATACACAATAACTAGAAATATGTATATATTTGTGTGTATAAAATTTACTATTGTTTTAGCTGTAGTTTTTTGAGCAAAAGTGTAAAACAGACCATATTCTTAAAAATCACCTCTAAATAAATACCAGATTGGGGAATTAATTCTATAGTTCTATGAACCTGAGTTTTTCTTTACTTGTGGCAATGAATGGCAACCTTACTGAGGAATTCAGCTGCCATTTTGTTTCTTTTAAACATTTTACTATAAGCTTTAACAAGTCGTATAATTGCACATGAGTCAACAGCACTATCCATATCTCAAGTGAGAACAATCACAAAATAACGATTAAAGAGAAACAGAATTCTCATTCTTGCTTTCTGAGGTAGGCCATTCCTGAATCCAGATTGACCTGAGTTTCTTCCCTCCCCTTCCCCATCATTATGTATCATAATATGTATGCTCCTGATAATGGTTCGAATTATCGAACTTAAGACAGGACCCCACAAACTGGCTGCCTACTTGTCCAATGGTCTATATCCATCAAATACAAATTAGTACTTCCTAAGTAATCAAAAAGAAAAAAAATGTCAATACCATCCTCTTT